AGATGACCACTCTTCGGGTGCTGCTGCACATAGCCGCTCAGCGCGACTACGAGCTCCACTCTCTTGACTTCAGTACTGCTTTCTTGCAGGGTAGCCTGCACGAGGAGATCTGGCTGCGCCGTCCACCTGGCTTCACTGGGACTTTTCCTCCTGGCACCCAGTGGAGCCTCCGACGGCCAGTCTACGGTCTCCGCCAGGCACCGCGTGAGTGGCACGACACACTGAGGACTACGCTTGCGGCTCTTGGGTTTGCTCCCTCTACTGCTGACCCGTCGTTGTTTCTGCGCACCGACACTTCTTTGCCGCCGTTCTACGTCCTCGTGTACGTCGACGACTTGGTCTTTGCCACAGCTGACACTGCTGGACTAGCCTACGTGAAGTCCGAGCTGCAGAAGAGACACACGTGCACAGACCTGGGTGAACTGCGCAGCTACCTTGGCTTGCAGATCACTCGGGACAGAGCACGCCGCACCATTACCTTGACTCAGTCACACATGGTGCAGCAGGTCCTTCAGCGCTTCGGCTTCACGTACTCCTCGCCTCAGGCCACTCCTCTGTCTACTCGCCACTCGCTCTCAGCTCTGCCTTCGGATGAGTCCGTAGAGTCGAGTGGCCCGTACCCAGAGCTTGTTGGCTGCCTCATGTACCTGATGACCTGCACACGACCTGACCTTGCATACCCTCTTAGCATTCTTTCACGCTATGTTGCTCCTGGGAGACACCGACCAGAGCACATGGCTGCAGCGAAGAGGGTGTTGCGCTACTTGTGCAGTACGTCGGGCATGGGGCTAGTGCTTGGAGGGCGGAGTCCAGTGGTCCTCACTGGGCACGCGGACGCTTCTTGGGCAGACGACCAGGCTACACAGCGGTCGTCGCAGGGTTACACCTTCAGTCTTGGTTCCGGCTCTGTCTCGTGGCGGGCTACTCGCTCGTCCTCTGTTCTCAGCTCCAGTTGTGAGGCTGAGATCTACGCCGGGGCCATGGCTGCACAGGAACTTCGCTGGCTCACCTACCTGCTGACTGACCTTGGAGAGCCGCCTCGTTCTCCTCCAGTGTTGTACGTAGACAACAAGGCCATGCTGGCCTTGTGTCGAGAGCAGCGCTTGGAGCACAGAACGAAGCACATTGCTCTCCGTTACTTTCTTGCTCGTGAGCTGCAGCAGCGTGGTCAGTTGCGACTTGCGTACGTGGCCTCTGAGGCCAACACTGCTGATGTGTTCACCAAGGCACTTGCGCCTTGTGACCATCAGCGCTTCTGCACCCAGCTGGGTCTTGTACCTGTCTTGCCTCACTTGCTCTCTTCTTGACCTTGCTTGTACTGTCACATATATATACCTGCTCTTGCTTGTCTAGCTCTATATATATATGTGTACTCCTGCATGTGAACTGGCCCTGTTGCCCTGTCGTTGTGCTCGGACTGTGTGGTGACTTTGTGATCCACCCTGAGCTTGCTCTGCTTTGCTTGACTGGTCTTGTGACCCCTTGTTCTCCCCCACTTTGCCTATGGGGGTGTGTCAGAACATATATATAGCTTATGCTGTTGTGTAGGCTATAGTGGGGTATCCCATAGGGGGTACAACCCAATTAGGGTTTCCCATATGTACTCACTTCATTCATAGTTCATTCATTCTCGTTCTACTTTTCTCAAAAAATTCATCCGACCGAGCTCGTCACCGTTCGCCGCACCGATACTGTTCACACCGAAAAAAGACGGGGGGTTTCGCATGTGCATTGACTACAGAGCACTGAACCGGGTAACAGTCAAGTCGCGATACCCCATTCCCCGCGCTGACGAACTGATCGACCAGCTGCGAACAGCACGGGTTTTTTCGAAAATAGATTTACGGGGAGGTTACCACCAGATTCGGGTCGAACCATCGGGCTGCGTAAAAACAGCATTTCGAACTCGGTATGGGTCATTCGAGTACACCGTGATGCCATTCGGGCTGACAAACGCACCGGCGACTTTCCAGATGACCATGAACGAGCCGTTTAGGCCGCTCTTAGATAAATGCGTGATAGTTTACCTCGACGACATCCTAGTTTACAGTCGGGATAAGCAGCAGCACTTAGCAGATCTGGAAGCAGTATTTAAGGTTCTAGACGAGCACAGGTTACTGACCAAGGGTTCCAAGTGCGAGTTTTTCCAGGATAGGTTAGAATTTTTGGGGCACGTTATTTCGGCGGCTGGAGTTGAAATTGACCCCAAGAAGCTGGACACGGTAAAAGCGTGGCACCCCCCGACGAACATCACGGAGCTGCAAAGCTTTTTAGGGTTCGTTAATTACGTGCGTCGGTTCGTCCCCGATATGGCACGGTTAACTGCCCCACTGACGGATTTACTACGGAAGGGGGTCACTTTTACGTGGGGGGAGAAAGAGCATGCTGCCTTCTCTGCCCTGAAAACTGTTCTCTGTTCACCGCCCGTACTGCGCATCGCTGACCCACACCGCCCTTTCGAAGTAGTAACCGACGCAAGCGACATCGCCATTGGAGCCGTACTGCTACAGGATTTCGGCAACGGCCTACAGCCCATCGCCTACGAGTCACGAAAACTGCATCCGCCCGAAAAAAACTACCCGATACACGACCGTGAAATGCTCGCGATCGTGCATGCGTTCAAAGTGTGGCGCTGTTACTTGACCAGCGCAGACGTGACAGTACGGACAGACCACCGATCACTACAGTACCTCCGCGCACAGCCCCACCTCAACCCACGACAGATTCGCTGGCTCGATTTCCTCGAGTCCAACTTCCACTACACGGTCACCTATAAAAAGGGAGCCTCGAACATTGCCGACGCACTGACCCGGCCCACTGCCCAGATTCACGCGATACTACTCGCCCAGACCAGCCCGCTACTGACAGGACTATTTACCCACGGATACCAAACGGACCCATTCTTCACAGGAGGAAATTCGCAGCAGTTCGCAGCAGCCAAACGAGTCTATTACGTAAAAGCCGGGACCGACCGCATCTGGGTACCAGGGTACACACTGCTACGGGAATTACTGTTACAGGAGGCACACGACGGAGTTACCTCAGGACATTTCGGGGTAGAGAAAACACGGCAGCAACTGCAGCGGTATTATTACTGGCCCGAAATGTTGACCGACGTTCAACGACACGTGGCATCGTGTCCCACTTGCCAGATCATGAAGTCATCACGGAAGCGGCCGGCAGGACAGTTGCAGCCGATACCACCACCACGTCAGCCTGCTTCGCCCATACGTGCCATCCACTAGCCAACTGCCTCGCAACCGCCCCGCCAGCATGACCCGACCACCGACTGAGCCAATCATCACGCCTGAGAAAATACTGAGCCATCGAGTACGTGACCCACGGGGAGCCCGCAGAATCGAATTCCCGATCCGCTGGAAGGACCGCACGCCCACCGAAGACAATTGGGTCCCCCTGGATAGAATTGAGAACCACCCTGTCCTCACTGAGTATCTGCGAAGCCGAAACTTCCGGGATGTACACGCGCTCTCGTAAGAGGGGCCTCCTTGGGGAGGGGGGTAGTGTAAGGAAAATTCCTTTTCCTTACTTCGCGTCCCTGCTCAGCGCGTACACCACTGTTCCCACCCACAGCACCCAACAGTAATCCGTTACCACTCGCGACACTCGCTTCGACACCATTCCCGCCACCATTCACGACGCGACCCAACCTCACGGTTCGGTTGGTAACCCGCGCTCCGGACCTCCGCCTCGACACTTTCCCAACCTCGGCACCAGGCCCGTCGCGCACCCCATTTTCCACACATTACCGTTACCACTGTAGTTTCGCTATATATTCTTCGCTCATGCCTTCGCTCATTGTACTCTTGCTTCGATAGTGCAATTCTCGCTCGTTCACTCAATTGCACTCGTAACAGTTTCCTTCAGCAAGATGCAGCAGGCTATGGTTTCCATTTTAGTTACTACGTAAACATTGTGTCTGGTGCCGTACCTAAAGCCATCAATGCATACTGAAGCGTGTATACGTAACAGCTAACGTATCTGCATGTGAGGGCCTATGTTATCAGGATAATTTATCCTGATTCTCCTGAATTCAGGATACGGTAGGTGTCGTGTGCTTCTCCTGAAAAAACAGCAGGGGAATTACTTGTCCTGTAAAATCAGTATAATGGTTATTTTGCGTACTAAAAAATCAGGATAGCGCTGTAGGTTCAGCCCTGACGACTCAGGATAGTGTCGAATCTCGCCCTGAAGCGAGATGTACTGTACGAAAAATCTCTTGGGTTTCGGGGCCTAAAACATACACACGCGAGCACATCAAACATAGGAGCCAGCGGGAATCGAGTAGGCAACCTATTGTGTAACAGACTGTCGCTTTACCCGCTACCACACTTCATGTAAGATAAGTCGGAGGACAGAATACAATTGCTTTTTTTTCGTGCGCCACTTCGCTTTTGCCAGCCAATTTGGCCCACGATGTCCACCGCCACCTTCGCCATCTGCTTGTACTGTGCTGTAACAGTTTCGCACCATGCAGCTGCCAGCGACTTGCACTGCCAGCCACTTGCAGCTGCACCCCAGCATTACACACTTCGAATGTGGAGAGCATTTCGATCCCCGCTAACATAACACGCGCGAAATACACAGGATTGTACGAAATGTAGCACTGAGCTGCCAGGATACTGTCAAATGTAGCACTGACATTTCAGGATACCTCACCCTGTGCAGCCCTGACAATTCAGGGCAAATTCTGATTTCCTAAAAACTGCCCTGAGGCCTCAGTGTACCCCCAAACGAATCTGAGGGCCTGATGTAAGAATATAACCACAGTACACAAGTACCATATAACCGACCAACTAGCTATACATGATGGTTCTTTCTTCTTACCGTACCTGTGACACGATCTCAGGAGTTTGCCAGGATCATGCATTGAGATCACCCTGGACTTCTGGAGAACTTGAGTCCAAAAAACCCCTTGCGCCAAGGTCTCTTCCCTCCCTGCTTCTTGTTACCCTTGCTGCTTACATCCTCCCCTCCCTCAGTTACCCTCCGCCCTTCATCCCTCCCTCCCTTCCCTCCCATAGGGGCCGAAGATGGCCGCTCAGCAGCACTTCCACTTGCCTCTGCAGCGTTGGTGACTGGCACAGGAACATCCCTGCTTGCTTCTGCGCCCTCTTGCTGTACTGCTGCTTCAAGTCCAACTGCTACCGAGGGAGGGGGTGTTGCAGCTCCTGCTGGTGATGCTGTCGTGACTGCTCCTTGTGCTGCTTCTCCTGCTGCTGCTGCTACTGCTCCTGCTGATGCTGATGATGCTGCAGCCTCCGTTGCTGTCTCTGCTGGCACTGGTACTGACTGTTCCACCAGTCTTGATGTTTCAAACCCAAGCCCCTCACCCCTTGCATGATCTGCAGGACCCGCCGATATTGTCCTAGTCAGCATCCACATCCTCTCTTCAGTCCCCCCCTCCCCACTCCCACCACTCTCCCCAGCACCCCCACCCCCTCCGCTTTCACCCTGCCTGGGTGCGGGCCGGAGCTGGCCGCTGTAGCTCCAAACCTCTTGCTTCGGTGGTACCAGGCCTGGGAACCCAGCAGCACCACTGCCTACAGCAGCAGTTGCTGCCTGGCGCTGAGCTGCTGCTCTGGCTCTCATAAAGGAGATGGCTCTATCGAGGGTGGTAACCGCATGGAAGATTGCCGGGTCCCTCTGCTGTAGTTGCCCGTACTGAAGACCTTGAGAACCTGCTGCTGCATTCTCACCTGCTGCACCCACTGCTGCCAAACCTCCTCCTGCACGTGCTGCTGCTGCTGGTGAAGTGCCTGCTGCTGGTGCCTGTGCAGCAGCAGCGGGTGCAGGAGCCACAAGCTTCCTGGGCGAGGGAGGGCGTGGCGGTCTCACCACTGATGCAGGGGAGGCAGTCTTGGGCGGTCCTGCTGCAGCGGGCACAGGCGCAACAGCTGCCTCTGCTAGAGCTTCGGCTGCACCATCAGCAGCAGCATCAGCAGCACCATCAGCACCAGCAGCAGCACCAGGAACCTCACTCTCACTCCAAGACGTGCTCGCAACGAGCCTCTCTACTTGCTTCTCCACGCGCTCCCCAATCTGCCGGAACGACTCCGCCTCGCCCTGCTGCTGCAGCTGCTCCCTCTCCTGCCTCGCCCGCTCGCCCTGTGCTGCTGCGGCGGCGTGGTGGGAGCGCATGGCGCGGCCCACGGAGTAGTAGAAGGGGTCTGAGCGGAGCAGCGCTCGGAACTTGTCCGCCTCCTTGTTGCTGCCATCCGCCACACTCTCTACCTCCTGAGGGTTGCAGGGAGGGACGTTGGGGAGCGCAGGGCGGGGACGAGAGAAAACGAGTGAGAGGGAGAGGGAGAGGGAGAGGCGGGACGAGTGATGGAATGAGATGATCCATGTGCTGAAAGAAAGGAAGTTTTTTCGTTACAAAAATACAATATCTTGGAACAGAAGCAGCAATACTAGCAGCACCCGCACAGCAACAGACACAGCGGGCGCACGTACACTGTAGAGCAGGTGGTAACCAGACCCCGCCAGCTGTCGCGACACAAAGTTGATGGCCCACGGCGGAATGAGGTTCAGTTTCATGTCAATCGTTGCGACACCGCTGGGAGGAGCACGGGGAGGTGGGAGAGCGGAGGAGTCAAGTGGCAAAAGGAGTGGAGTAACAGGGTGAGCGGGTAGCAGAAGGGGTTGGGTGAGGAACGAGGCTCAACTTCATGTCAATCGCTGCGATCCGCTGGAAGGAGCAGGGGTGGGTGGAAACGAGTGGCAGAGGGAACGGAGCGGCAGGGGGAGGGGGGAAGCAGATGGGGATAGGAGTGATTAGGAGAGGTTGGTGCAACACCGTAACTAGCAGTAGGCGTTTCCAGTGTCCGTGGCTGCAAAGTCGCCCTTCACTCTCACGAGGCTCCTACATACAGGAATACCCCCTTCACACTCATCACCTTAAAAGGCAGCGACTGACCGGAAGTAGCAGCAGCCGTTGCCAAGGTCCTTGGATGCAAAGCCGCCCTTCACACTCATACGGACCTCTCCAGAGCGCACACGTGGCACACCGTCATTGGAGAAACCATACGAGTCAGGGTCAAAGGTAGCTGGGTCATCCGGGTACTGCAGGGGGGAGCACGTGTGAGAAAAGAGGGGTACGTGAGTGAGGAGAAGAGGAAATGCGTGATGAGATGAGAAAATGTGTGATGAGAAGAGGGAATGTGTGATGAGAAGGGGAAATATGTGATGAGAAGAGGAAATGCGTGATGAGAAGAGGGAATGTGTGATGAGAAGGGGAAATATGTGATGAGAAGAGAAAATGTGTGATGAGAAGAGAAAATGTATGATGAGAAGAGAAAATGTGTGATGAGAAGGGGAAATATGTGATGAGAAGGGGAAATATGTGATGAGAAGGGGAGATATGTGATGAAAAGGGGAAATATGTGATGAGAAGGGGAGATATGTGATGAAAAGGGGAAATATGTGATGAGAAGGGGAAATACTTTAGGAGGAAAGGAAGTGGGAATTATGAGGAGGTAGAAGCCAGCAGGAGGAACATGACAGGAAGAAATGAACCAGAGAAAGGAGAAACAGATGGGCGAGTGGATTGAGAGGACAGCGCCCATAATATGTAACGAAGCCCATGGTGTGAGGGAAAACCTCTCGTGTTACGTAGTCACGTGCTAGTCAAAAGAGAGATCAGGCGCCAGTCAGTGGTGCAGCTGAACAATGGCTTGGCACAGAAAGGTGGCAGACAACGCTAACATGGACCTCAGCTCAGCTCAATTCAACGACGAAATTCGCGGACAGCTGCGGCAGCGGCAGCAGCAGCAGCATCGTGAATGGAAAAGAGAGCACAGAAAGAATGGAGTGGTGGAGCATGGTGTGGAGGAGGTGCAGGAGTGCAAATTAGGGTGCAGTGAGGTGTATTTTGAGGCGCCTCAAAATACACCTCACTGCACGCGGAGTGGTGGAGCATGGTGTGGAGGAGGTGCAGGAGTGCAAAGAGGAAGAAAAAAAGGGGGGCTTGTGGTACTGACAGAGATGAGAGAGGTACTGACAGAGATGAGAGAGGTACTGACAGAGATGAGGGACGTGGCGATGAAGCCGGTAGCAGCGTCGTGCACAGAGAAGAGCACAAAGAGGATTTCACGCGTGGCGAAGGGCCACGGCACCTTGAAGCTGTAGCGGGGCGTGCATGGCAGAGAAGGGCAGCAGACAGGATCGGTTGGAGAGAGAGTGGTTATTAAGGGTGTTGGAGTTCGAGAGGACGTGAAAAGTGAGGGGCGAAACAGGGGAAGTGCAGACGAGCGCGCGCACAAGCGATGATGAGGTGTGTGAGAAGAGTTGGTGTGTGACAAGGCGTTCTTTTGAGAATTCTCAAAAGGAACACCAATATAGTTGGTGTGTGCCATGGCGTTCTTGCTGCCCTTGTGCTCCTTCCACTAGCTAGTGTGGCAGTGACTGACCGGAGGTGTACGAGCTCGTATCCTGGCGCCACTCTCTTGACGAACTTAGACTCCAGCATGTGGAAGGGCGGCACTGAGAATTGCGGCCACCTGGGGGCAAAGGGCGAGGGAGGGGGGGGGTTGTGATGTGCGGGAAGGAGGGAGGGAGAAGGGAAGGGAGGAAAGGACAAGAGAGTTGGAGACAACGGAGGAGAATGACGAGGGAGATAAGAGGTCAGTGAGGGGAGGAGGTGGGATGACGTGGGAGGGGTGGCAGCAAGGAATTGTACAACAGCACATCAAAGAACTGCCAACGAAAGGGAAGAGGGGGGGGAGAGGGGGGGAGGGGGAGGGGGAAAGGGACGAGGGCGTTAGCCAGGTATAAAAGCACCCTTGATGCATTTTTACTTACAGCTACCACCGTAATACTTGGATACAGGGGAAACGAGGTGCCAACGTGCGATGTGATGTGACACATGTTTGAATCCATGAGGACACGTGTTCCCCATGCGGACAAATGGAGAGTACTCTCGATGAAACTCACCAGTCAATGAAGAACGGAGCCTCCCACGCCACCGCGAGCACTGCATCATGCACACAAGAGAAAAGAGGAGGCGTGGATGTGTGACGTGACGACCAGAGCCTATTTTTTAAGCCCAGATGGAGCCTTCACTCGGGCTGCATTGTGCAGAAAAACGATGGAGAGGACAAAGCGATGGGTGTAAATGTGAGATCAATGCGGCATCTCAAAAGACAAAGAGATGGGGGCGGATGTGAGATCCATGTCGCATGTGGGAGGGATGGAAAGCAATGGAGGCGTAGGCGGAGAGGGTGGTGTAGCACACATCATGAGCACAGACCACACACCAGACCAGCGTCCAGGGGGTTACTTTTGAGTCGACTCAAGAGGTGGAAAGGGTGGTGTAGCAACAATTTGAGCACAGACTACCACACCAGTGCCTCGAAAACCCTTGAACACAAAAAACACCACTCGATCAAACAGAGTGTATCCGGCAAAGTCCTAAAAGAGCAGCCCACCAGTGTCGAGGGAGCCCTTGAGCACGCCCTCCAAGCACAGCTCGTGGAAGTCCTTTCTTTAAGACGACTCAACATAAGACAGGGAAAAATGGAAGAGAGCCCACCAGTGTCGAGGGATCCCTTGAGCACGCCCTCCAAGCACAGCTCGTGGAAGGCCGTTCCCTCCGCGCCTGGGCGGTACATCACCCTGTGGCTCTTGCTCTGCTCCTTCAGCTGTGGTTGGAGGGAGGGGATTGGGGGGCCAGGAGTAAGTGGGGCGTTATGAACACTCTGCGATGCGCCCCTGGGCTGTACATCACCCTGTGGCTCTTGCTCTGCTCCTTCAGCTGCACGCGGGGCGAAGGAGGAGCGGCACGGGGAAGTGAAAGAGTGCTCGGTAAGGGAGGTGCGGGGGACCAGGGGTGGGTGGGGAGTTATAAACACCCTCCGCCCCCGGGCGGTACATCACCCTGTGGCTCTTGCTCTGCTCCTTCAGCTGCGCGCGGGGCGAGGGAGAAGGCACGAGTGGGGGGGTGTGTGGGGGCCCGGTAGTGGGTCAAGGGGATGGTATGGAGTTTCCTCCGCCCCTGGGCGGTACATCACCCTGTGGCTCTTGCTCTGCTCCTTCAGCTGCACAAGGGGCGAGGGAGGAGAAGGCACGAGGAAGGCCAAGTAAGACCTCTAGCTTCCGCTGGTGGTACGCTGCTCACAGGGAAAACCTCCCCAGAGACCTGTTCTCCCCGAATGTCACTCCCGCCCCCCACAGAAGGTGCACCAGCAGCTACTTGCTCTAGCATTTCGGCTGCACTCTCTACTTCCCCCTGCGTTCCATTTCCCCCCACAGAAGGTGCACCAGCAGCTATTTGCTCTAGCATTTCTGCTGCATTCTCCATTTCTCCCAGCGTTCCGTTTTCCCCAAAAGAAGGTGCACCAGCAGCTATTTTCTCTAGCATTTCTGCCGCATTCTCTATGTCTCCCTGCGTTCCGTTTTCTCCAAAAAAAGGTGCACCAGCAGCGATTTCCTCTAACATTTCTGACGCATTTTCTATTTCTCCCTGCGTTCCGTTTCCCCCAACAAAAGCTGCATCGCACTTTTCTCTAGCCGACTCAAAAGCTGTTTCTTCAGGCTCAGGTAGTCCTAATCGCCTTTTAACGGCTCTCGTGACTATAGCGGGGTCTGTCCACGTGTCTGACGCCAGCGCACGATCAAACGAGCGGCGAGCTTCGAAGAACGCCATCCCTGCGTACCAAAATACCCGTCACCCGCCTAATAGATATTGTGACAGTGCGTTCTTGTTCTAACTTCACGCAACAATGCTCAGCTCCGCAATCTCGTGTATAGAAGTTAACGTTTGGAAAATGAAAATGTAAGTCATGCTTGTAACCGGAAACAGTCAGCAGCATCCAGAGTGCTTATCTAGAATCTGGACGCAGCCGCGTAGTTAACCACAACACTGGGCGCGGCGATCACGAAAATACTCAGACAAGGCTACGAAGCCGCGGAAACGGGGATCCTCCAAGTACACGCCATTCCAGGGCTCTCATATTTCCATCTGTGCTTCCACTACTCTTGCTTCATAACTTTCCAGCATGCAGCAAATTCGGCGTATCATCTTTGCCTGTCGGAGTTGCTCCAGCCTTGACTCCCAAGGGGATGTCCAAACCAATTCCAAGGGATTTTGGCGGGAACTGACTGACAGACGGGTCTGACAGACGGACGGATGGGTTCATCACTGTTGCTAACGGCACCCTTCACTAATGCTTTGCACGTTTAATTTTATTAGATTATGACATGACAACACGGTTAAAAAAAATATAAACATTTTTATGAAGGGAAAGCTTATGTACCATTATGTTTGCGAGCAAACTGCCAAGGCTGTACAAACCCGACAGACTTTATCTTCCTCTATTGCTTTGGTCATGTGGACCCATCCATCCCATTCTTCAAGCATTTCTCCCTCGTGCCAGCACCTACATCAGCCGTTAGTGCAATCACAATAGCCGGTCTGCTCCCCGGTCTTTTTGTGTGTTTCCACCATTCACACAAGCTTCATACTTGCGTATGAGCCCCGTGGCTTCTAACCCATCCATCTCCGGCATCTGAAAAGCAACATATTGTGAAAAGGCATAAATCCATTGATTGGCAAAACACAAAAGGATCTGGCATCACAACAATCCATAGAACGGATTCACAATACAGCTACAGACCTCGGACTTCCCCCCCACCCTCCTCCCCCTCTTTTCCCCCTCTAAAAAAAACCGCCCAGTAACGCCCACAAACAGCCATAATAACACACAGCCGCCGCACCTGCGCGTCCATGAAGACGCAATCAAATCTGGGAGCCTGCAGGGCCTTGACAGCCTTGGACTTCTGGAGAACCTGAGAGACTGAATCACCCTGGACTTCTGGACAACTTGAGACCAAAAATCCCCTTGCGCCATGGTCTCTTCCCACCCTGCTTCCTGTTACCCTTGCTGCCTGCATCCTCCCCTCCCTCAGTTAACCTCCGCCCTTCATCCCTCCCTCCCTTCCCTCCCATGGGGGCCGAAGATGGCCGCTCAGTAGTGCTTCCACTCGCCTCTGCAGCGTTGGCGACTGGCACAGGCACATCCCTGCCTGCATCTGTGCCCTCTTGCTGTTCTGCTGCTTCAAGTCCAACTGCAACTGAAGGAAGGGGTGTTGCAGCTCCTGCTAGTGATGCTGTCGATACTGCTCCTGTGCTGCTGCTGGTGATGCTTTTGTGACTGCTCCTTGTGTAGCTGCTGCTGCTGTTGTTGCTGCTGCTGCTGCTGTTGCTGCTGACGACGACGACGCCTCTGTTGCTGGTACTGAATGTTCGACCAATCCTGCTGTTTCAAACCCAAGCCCCTCACCCCTAGCATGATCCTCAGGACCTGCCGATATTGTCCTAGTCAGCATCCATACCCTCTCCTCGGTCCCGCCCTCCCCACTCCCACCAGTCTCCCCAGCATCCCCATCCCCTCCACTTTCACCCTGCCTAGGTGCGGGCCGAAGCTGGCCGCTGTAGCTCCAAACCTCTTGCTTCGGCGGTACCAGGCCTGAGAGCCCAGCAGCACCACTGCCTGCTGCAGCAGTTGCTGCCTGGCGCTGAGCTACTGCTCTGGCTCTCATAAACGAGATGGCTCTATCGAGAGTGGTAACCGCATGGAATATTGCCGGGTCCCGCTGCTGTAACTGCCCATACTGGAGACCGTGAGAACCTGCTGCTGCATTCTCACCTGCTGCACCCACTGCTGCCAAACCTCCTTCTGCACGTGCTGCTGCTGCTGCTGCCTTTGCAGCAGCGGGTTGTGCAGGAGCCATAAGTTTCCTGGGCGAGGGAGGGCGTGGCGGTCTCACCACTGACGCAGGGGAGGCAGCCTTGGGCGGTCCTGCTGCAGCGGGCACAGGCACAGCAGCTACCTCTGCTAACGCTTCAGCTGCATTTATGACTCCCACATCACCACCAGCAGCACCATCAGCACCAGCATCACCAGCACCAGCAGCAGCAGCCCCACCAACGTCACTCTCACTCCCAGACGTGCTTGCCACGAGCCTCTCCACTTCCGTCTCCACTCGCTCCCCAATCTGCCGAAAAGACTCCGCCTCACCCTGCTGCTTCAGCTGCTCCCGCTCCTGCTTCGCCCGCTCGCCCTGCGCTGCTGCTGCGGCGTGGTGGGAGCGCATGGCCCGGCCCACAGAGTAGTAGAAAGGGTCTGAGAGGAGCAGCGCTCGGAACTTGTCCGCCTCCTTGTTGCTGCCATCCGCCACACTCTCTATCTCCTGAGGATTGCAGGGAGGGAGGGTGGGGGACGCAGAGAGTGGAAGAGAGAGAATGAGAGAAAGAGAGGGAGTGGGGGAGCGGTGGATATATATAACGGAAACAAAACCTTCAATCAAGGTAGTGAAGATAGAAGGGCAGATATGACTTCCAGGATTGCTTAAAGCCAGGGTCTCATGTACGGGTTGGCCGTGCAACTGCAAAACACTTGGGCGAAAAGTTGGTTCTTTGGCGAGTCTCGATTTGACAAAATTTTGGCCCCAGAATTGTAAACCAATCAGACAGGCCCTTTTTCATCGACTGCAAAACACTTGGTCTACTTGAGATCCTGGCTTTAACGAACAAGATAGTCCTGACGGCAACAGCACCCACAAGATAAAATAAGTGCTGGTTGCATGAACAAAAGCAGAGACAGCATCAGCAACAAAAGCAGAAACAGCACCACCAGCAGACATATCAGGCACACGCACCCTGTAGAGCATGTGGTAACCAGATCCCGCCAGCTGTCGCGACACGAAGTTGATGAGCCATGATGGGATGAGGTTCAGCTTCATGTCAATCGTTGCCACACCGCTGGAAGAAGTTTATGGGGAGGGCGAGTGGCAGAGAGTACAGAGTGGCAAGGGGCGGGGGAGCGTGGGGGTGTGGGAGTGAATGAAAGAGGTTGGTGCGACTTTGAGTGTGATAGCCATGGATAATAGCATTCGTTCGCTGGAAAACCACCTTCGACGCCACTTGAAGCCCATTTCGCAACATAAAGACACACCGAAATCAGCAGCAGCTCTTGCCCATCCCCTTCACTGCAAGGCCACCCTTCAAAGTTCTGGGAAGCACCTAGAAACACAATTTCGCTCACAAAAACACCCATGGCTGGTCACCTCGAAATGGAATAACACACCGAAAGTAGCAGTAGCCGTTGCCAAGGTCCTTGGCTGCAAAGCCGCCCTTCATACTCATGCGGACCTCTCCGGAGCGGACAGGTGGCACACCGTCACTGGTGAAGCCATACGCGTCAGGGTCGAAGGCAGCTGGATTATCCGGGAACTGTTGGAGAAAAGCACGTGGCGAGAAAGGAAAGTACGTGAGGAGAAGGCGAAGTATGTTAAGGTATGGAAAAGCGTGTGCCAAGAAAAAGGAAATACGTGACCATCCGGCAAAACATGGAATGCGAAAAAGAGAGAGGAAAAAAAAAAAAAAAAAAAAAACACGACGAGAAGGGCACTGATTTGAGATGGGAAAGAAGTGCAAGATACAATATATTAAAGGTAACAACCATTGATCGGACATGGCTGATCTGGGACTAGATTCAACGATGATACTGGTGGCGACAGTGCCAGCAACGGGGGCGGCGGCAACAGCAGCCACTGCATTGTGAGTGGGAAAGAGTACCCAGAGAAAAGGGAGTTGTACGGAATGATCGAAGAAGAGTGCAAGCGGGAGAACAAAGAGGAGCGCAAGCGGGAACACAAAGAGGAGGACAACGGGGATAACAAAGAGGAGGAAAACGGGGAAAACAAAGTGGATGAAAACGGGGAAAACAAAGAGGAGGAAAACAGGGAAAACAAAGAGGAGGAAAACGGGGAGAACAAAGAGGAGGACAACGGGGAGCACAGAGAGGACAACGGGGAGCACAACGAGGAGTGTGGAACTGACGGAGATGAGGGAGGTGGCGATGAAGCCGGTGGCAGCGTCGTGCACGGAGAAGAGCACATAGAGCATGTCACGTTGGGCGAAGGGCCACGGCACCTTCAAGCTGCAGAGGGGCGCGGGTGGCAGGAAATAGGCCGAGATTGGTGGATTGGATGGGATAGATGTTAGTGAGGCTGTGACAAATGGGAAGAACTGACTTCTGAGTCGAGTCACAAGTGAAAATGGGAAGTGCTAAGTGAGGGCGCGGAACCGCCAAGTGGAGATTTGCACACAAGGGATGAGGAGGTGTGTGACACGACACAGTGTGTGTGTGAAATCCCAACATTCTATCCCTTAGCTAGCGGTGCACTGACCGGACGTGTACGACCTCGTATCCCGGTGCCACTCTCTTGACGAACTTGGACTCGAGCACGTGGAAGGGTGGCACTGAGGACTGCGGCCACCTGGGGGCGAGGGGGGAGAGAGGGAAGGAGGAAATGATAAGCGAGTTGGACACAAGTGACGAGAACAATGACGGGGATGAGAGAATAAGGAGGGAGTGAGGTGGAAATCGGCCGGACGAAGTAGGAGGGATGGCAGCAAGAAATTGTACAAGAACACACACATAAGCACGTGTCAAAGAAGTTTCAACGAAATGTCCAAGTGGAAGATTTTTGAGTCGACTCAAAAGTCATCACGAAATGTCCAAGTGGAAAATGGCAGGGTGTGATGTGAAAGCAACCTCGACACATCCTTTCCGTTCTTAGCTTCTATGTTTGTCCGTTTCAAAGCTTGCAACCAGCACCACACCACGCAATGCCCAGAGAGACAGACAAAGTGGATATAGAGAATAGAGGAGGCTCACGTGCGGTGGGCACACTTATATTCATGGACACACGTGTTTGTACCCATGAGGACACGTGGAGAACACACTTACCAGACAATGAAGGATGGACCCCCCCACGCCACCGAGGTGACTTCTGAGTCGACTCAAAAGCTACCCATGATAGCATGGGTGCCCATAAGGGCACGTGTTTGTACCCATGAGGACACATGATTGTACCCACGAGGACACATGTTTGTTTGTATCCATGAGGACACATGTTTGTACCCACGAGGACACGTGTTTGTTTGTATCCATGAGGACACGTGTTTGTACCCACGAGGACACGTGTTTGTTTGTATCCATGAGGACACGTGTTTGTACCCACGAGGACACGTGTTTGTTTGTATCCATGAGGACACGTGTTTGTACCCACGAGGACACGTGGAGAGCACACCTACCAGTCAATGAAATATGGAGCCTCCCACGCCACCGCGAGCACTGCAGCGCGCAGATGAGATGAGAATCGAGAGAGGGTGGATGTGAGAAGATTGACGTTGGAACTTCGGGGGGTGGATGTAGGAGCAATGCGGGAAAGACGGGATACGGTAGGGGGGGATGCGAAGAGGATGTTATGTGGGTCATGAGCACACAGACAGCATCGGAGCACCGTACTAAGTAGATCTGTCGCAAGTAAAAGAAGCCCACCGTTGTCCGAAAAAAGAGCCCACCAGTACCCAAAGAACAGCCCGCCAGTGTCTAAAAGAGCAGCCCACCAGTGTCGAGGGATCCCTTGAGCACGCCCTCCAAGCACAGCTCGTGAAACGCCGTTCCCTCCGCCCCTGGGCGGTACATCACCCTGTGGCTCTTGCTCTGCTCCTTCAACTGTGTGCAGGGCACGGGAGGAGAAGGCACGGGGAAGGGCAAGGAAGACCTCTAGCTTCTGCTGGTGGTACGCTGCTCAGTGAAAACCACCTCCTCCTGCACACCTCCTGCACACCAGAGCGGAGGCAAGGGCGGAACAAGTGGAGCAGGGAGAACCTCCATACGCCCCCAGAGACCCCTTCTGCCCGAATGTCACTCCCGCCCACCAGCCACTCCCCCTCACCCGCTTCTCCCTCTCACCCGCTTCTCCCACTCACCCGCCTCTCCCACTCACCCGCCTCTCCCACTCACCCGCCTCTCCTTCTCACCCACCACGCCACTCCCACTCACCCGCCTCTCCCACTTACTCGCCACCCCCACTCACCCGCCAGTCGCGCTGCCCGAACGCCTCCGGGTGGGCGCGGGACTCCTCGCGGTGGAGCGCCATGTCCTCAAAGCTGCTGCCCGCCGCACTGCTTGTGCTTCTACTCACGCACCTGCCCTGCTAGCCCTGCTACCCCGCTCACCCCCCACTCCCTAACACCCGCTATGCCCACCCGCCAGTCGCGCTGCCCAAAGGCCTCGGGGTGGGCGCGGGACTCCTCGCGGTGCAGCGCCATGTCCTCAAAGCTGCTGCCCGCCGCACTGCGCAGCGCCTCCAGCATGCCCTCTGTGTCCCTCACCCGCTCGGCCACCACCTTGTCCATCTCCGCGGCCTCCGCCAGACCCGAGTACTGCTCGTGCGTCAGCCGGGGCTCGGGCTGGGGCTGGGACTGGGACTGGGATTCAGGTCCTTTGGCTGGTGCTGCTGCTGATGGAGGGAGGGGTTCGGTGGGTGGAGGGTCGGCTGCAGCGGCTGCGTTGCTGTTATTCGTGGCGCCGTCTGTTGGACGGGAATAGGCCGCACATGGACACAGTGACGCATATTGGAAATATTGGACGCTTATGGGAAATATTGGACGCACATGGGAAACATCGCACACATGAAGCAAGGATTCTGAAGGTGGTGGCACGAGTGAAGGAAAAGCGCACAGAGAATCATGAACCTGACCAAATGTTGTTGCCTTACGCCTGGGCATGTGAAATTTGATTGTTTGGTTGTTTGGTGAAAACAGTACAGCATCTATCTACGCAGCTACCTTCGCTTCGAAAGCATGACCATTCCAGCTGGATGAACAAATCAAGAGCAATTTCGCAACCACATGCTGTTATACTTGTGAGGCTTCTCAAAACTGGATGAACAGACAGCATTCACGCAACCACATGCCATGCTGGCAGGTAAAAGATAACGAAGACGAACTTTCCCGACGACTCAAAGAAACACTTTCGCGACGCACCTGGGGAGTTGTGATATGCCGTCTGGACCGTTTGGCTGCGAAGGGGCCATCCGCTGACTTCCCCATCGCTAGCTTCCATTCCCGCTCCGTTAGTAGCTTCCCCGCTTCCATCCTGAGCTGCTCGGGTCGCTCCGTTACTAGCTGTTGCTTCGGATCCAACAGCAGCTACTTGCTGTAGCATCTCTGCTGCATTCTCTATTTCTCCCTGCGTTATATTTTCCCCAACAGAAGGTGCACCAGCAGCTATTTGCTCCAACATTTCTGCCGCATTCTCTATGTCTCCCTGCGTTCCATTTTCCCCAAAAGAAGGTGCACCAGCAGCTATTTGCTCTAACATTTCTGCCGCATTTTCTATTTCTCCCTGCGTTCCGTTTCCCCCAACACAAGCTGCATCGCACTTTTCTCTAGCCGACTCAAAAGCTGTTTCTTCAGGCTCAGGTAGTCCTAACCGCCTCTTAACGGCTCTCGTGACTATAGCGGGGTCTGTCCACGTGTCTGACGCCAGCGCACGATCGAACGAGCGGCGAGCTTCGAAGAACGCCATCCCTGCGTACCAAAATACCAGTCACGCGCCTAACAGATACTAACAGTCACACGCCTAATAGATTTTGCGACAGCGCGTTCTTGTTCTATCTTCACGCAACAACGCTCAGTTCCGCAATCTCGTCTGTAGAAGTTAACGTTTGGAAAATGAAAATGTCTTAACTTTCATGCTTGTAACCGAAAACAGTCAGCAGCATCTAGAGTGCTTATCTAGAATCTGAACGCATCCGCGTTGTTAACCACAATACGGAACGTGGCGATCGCGAAGATATTCAATTTTGGTTACGAAGCCGCGGAAATGGGGATTCTCCAAGTAAACGGCATTCCAGGGCTCTCATATTTCCATCGGTCCTTTCACTATTTCTTGCTTCATAGTATGCAGCAAATTCGGACTTGTTTCTCATCCTGGTATCGTCTGTTTGTTGGAGTTGCTCCAGCCTTGACTCCCAAGGGGGTGTCCAAACCAGTTCCAAGAAATTTTGGCGGGAACTGACTGACAGAGTCCGACAGACGGACGGATGGGTTCATCACTGTTGATAACGGCACCCTTCACTAATGCTTCACATGTTTAGTTTTATTAGATTCTGACATGACAATACCGTAAAAGAAAACAGAAGCATATTTATGAAAAACAGCAACACAAAAGGGAAAGCTTATGTACCATTACGTTCGCGAGCAAGCTGCCAAGGCTGTGAAAAAAGACAACACAAACCCGACAGAGCTGATCTTCCTCTATTGGTTTGGTATTGTACCCATCCATCCCAATCTTCAAACACTCCTCCGTTGTGCCAGCACCCACATCAGCCGTTAGTGCAATCACAACAGCCGGTCTGCTCCCCTGTCTTTTTGTGTGTTTCCCCCATCCACACCAGCTTCATACTTGCGTATGAGCCCCGTGGCTTCTAGGCCATCCATCTCCGGCATCTGAAAAACAACACATTGTGAAAAGGCTTAAATCCATCGATTGGCAAAACACAAAAAGGATCTGGCATCACAATAAACCATAGAACGGATTCACAATACAGCTACAGACCTCGGACTTCCCCTCCACCATCCTCCCCCTCTTTCCCCCCTCTGAAAATAAACGTCCAGTAACGCCCACAAACAGCCATACTAACACACAGCCACCGCACCTGCACATCCATGGAAGACGCAATCAAATCTGGGAGCTGCCTGTTGCACGGCCTTGACAGCCTTGGACTTCTGGAGAACCTGAGACTGAATCACCCTGGACTTCTGGAGAACTTGAGACCAAAAAACCCCTTGCGCCATGGTCTCTTCCCACCCTGCTTCTTGTTACCCTTGCTGCCTGCCTCCTCCACTCCCTCAGTTAACCTCCGCCCTTCATCCCTCCCTCCCTTCCCTTCAATGGGGGCCGAAGATGGCCGCTCAGCAGCACTCCCCCCCGGTTCTGCAGCATTGGCGACTGGCACAGGCACATCCCTGCCTGCATCTGTGCCCTCTTGCTGTTCTGCTGCTTCAAGTCCAACTGCAACTGAGGGAAGGGGTGTTGCAGCTCCTGCTAGTGATGCTGTCGACACTGCTCCTTGTGCTGCTGCTGGTGATGCTGTTGTGACTGCTCCTTGTGTGACTGCTGCTGCTGACGATAACGATGCCTCTGTTGCTGGTACTGACTGTTCGACCAATCCTGCTGTTTCAAACCCAAGCCCCTCTCCCCTTGCATGATCAATAGGACCCGCCGATATTGACCTGGTCAGCATCCACACCCTCTCTTCTGTTTGCCCCTCCCCACTCCCACGAGTCTCCCCAGCGTCCCCATCCCCTCCACTTTCACCCTGCCTAGGTGCGGGCCGAAGCTGGCCACTGTAGCTCCAAACCTCTTGCTTCGGTGGTACCAGGCCTGAGAACCCACCAGCAGCGTTGCCTGCAGCAGCAGCTGCTGCTCTTGCTCTCATGAAGGAGATTGCCCTATCGAGAGTGGTAACCGCATGGAATATCGCCGGGTCTCTCTGCCGTAACTGCCCATACTGGAGGCCTTGAGAATCTGCTGCTGCGTTCTCACCGGCTGCACCCACTGCCGCCAAACCTCCTTCTGCACGTGCTGCTGCTGCTGCTGCCTGTGCAACAGCGGGTGATGCAGGGGCCACAAGCTTCCTGGGCGAGGGAGGGCGTGGTGGTCTCACCACTGATGCAGGGGAGGCAGCCGTGGGCGGTCCTGCTGCAGCCGGCACAGGCACAGCAACTACCTCTGCTAACGCTTCAGCTGCATTCATGACTCCCGAATCACCTCCACCGGCAGCACCATCAGCACCAGCAGCAGCAGCACCACCACCACCACCAGGAACAACACTCCCACTCCCAGACGTGCTTGCCACAAGCCTCTCTACTTCCTTCTCCACTCGCTCCCCAATCTGCCAGAACGACTCCGCCTCACCCTGCTGCTGCAGCTGCTCCCTCTCCTGCTTCGCCCGCTCGCCCTGTGCTACTGCGGCGGCGTGGTGGGCACGCATGGCCCGGCCCACGGAGTAGTAGAAGGGGTCTGAGCGCAGCAGCGCTCGGAACTTGTCCGCCTCCTTGTTGCTGCCGTCCGCCACACTCTCTATCTCCTGAGGATTGCAGGGAGGGAGGGTGGGGACAACAGAGAAGGGGAAAGAGAGAATGAGAGAGAGAGAGAGAGGGAGAGGGAGAGGGAGAGAGGGGGGCCACGTGAATGGCTATGGGGATTGCCTAACGAACAATGTAGTGCTTTCATCAACAGCAGCCACAAGAAGAAGAAGAAGAAAAGAGTGTTAGGTGCACGAACAAGAGTCGAGACAGCAAACAGAAGCAAAAGAAGCAACAGCACCAGCAGCAGACGTATCAGGCACACACACGTTGTACAGCATGTGGTAACCAGACCCCGCCAGCTGTCGCGACATGAAGTTGAAAAGCCACGGTGGGATGAGGTTCAGCTTCACGTCAATCGTTGCCAACCCACTGGACGAAGCAGGGGGAGGAGGGAGGGGAGGGAAGGTGAGTGGCAGAGGGTACGGAATGGCAGGGGAAGCGGGAGCGCAGGGGCAGAGAGGAGTGAATGAAAGAGGTGTGCGACACCGAGGGTAAGAACCATGGATGACGTCATTCGTTCGCTGCAGAACCACCTTCCACGCCACTTGATGCCTCTTCACGACACAATACTTACCTAGTCATCAGCAGCCGTTTCTCATTCCCGTTCAAAGCTGCAATGCAAAGCTGCCCGTGAACTTTTCTGAGAGGAACCTAGAAGAAACACATCTTCTGACGCTAAAAAAAAAAAAACAAACAAACAAACACACACTTTGGCCGGTCGCCTCAGAGCAGAAACGACGCACATGACGTGGGTTTTCGAGTCCTAAGAAATAAATGTCGCCTCATAATGGAAACAACTCACCGGAAGTAGCAGTGGCCGTTGCCAAGGTCCTTGGATGCAAAGCCACCCTTCACACTCACGCGCACCTCTCCGGCACGGAGACGTGGCACGCCGTCATTGGTGAAGCCATACGAGTCAGGGTCAAAGGCAGCCGGATCTTCTGGGAGCTGCCGGGGGGAAGCACGCGGCGAGAAGAGAAAAGCATGAGGAGAAGGGGAAGTATGCGACGAGAAGAGAAAAGTATGAGGAGAAGGGGAAGCATGCGACGAGATGGGGAACCATGTGACGAGAAACAGGAAATATGTGACCACCAGGAAATTTCAACTCTTTGATGAGAACGGAAAAAATGTCAGCAAGCGGAAACATATGGCGAGAAGGGAAATTACTTATGGCAGGGAATAAGTGCAAGATATAAAATAATAAAGTACAAGCCACCAGGTCATGGATGGGAAAAAGGAGAAAAAGATGGGCGAGTAGAGTAAGGGCGTATTCCTGGCTTCGAGTCATCCCGCCTTCGTTCGGGTCATCCCGAATAAAATTCCCGCACAGCGGATTTTCCGACTCCAGCTTCGGGTCTTCAGCTTCGGGAGTTTGTGAGCTTCAGCGAACACGCTGGACGAGATTTGTTTTTCCCCAGTAAAATTGTCGTGGAGCTGCAGTGCGACATTTCAGACGCTGCGACAAAATCCACATTGACAATTCTGTGCAACGTCGCACATCTCAGGCTCGTGCAGACACGTGAAAAAAGGAGTGTTTTGAGACGTCACATCTGACTCGTCTCAAAACACTCCTTTTTTCACGTCACATCTGACTCGTCTCAAAACACTCCTTTTTTCACGTCACATCTGACTCGTCTCAAAACACTCCTTTTTTCACGTCACATCTGACTCGTCTCAAAACACTCCTTTTTTCACGTCACATCTGAGGCTCGTGCAGAATCGTAATTGCTCGCAAGTTTGCTCTGGCGATCGCAACTTACATTGCCGAGAGCTGCGATTTCAGGTAACCCCCTACATATTCGTCTAAATAAATCGTTAACAATATCAGCTTGCTGACCCGAGCTGCTCCATTGCAGCTCGTGACTTCCCAAGATTTTGGATGACATTTTTAGCGGATGACCCGAAGCCAGGAATACGCCCTAAGGTGGCAACCCTTGTGGCATGTAGTCACGTCAGATTTTTTGGAAGAAGATCAGGCACCAGCCAGTGCTGCAGCCGAACAAAGGCTTGGCAGCAGCTGAGGGAAAATTCGGGTGCTCCAAAGCTGACTTAGACACTTTACAAACACTGGATGGGCTAGAAAACGCTAAGGGAAAAATCCACTTGACGCGCTCTCGTGCAACCTAAGGAGAAAGGGGGGGAGGGGGGGGGGGTCAGGCAGAATTAGGGAGGGGGGGGTCCTACAACCGGAAACCAAAACTTTGAGACAGGGGAAGGCCTGGTTTGGGCCCTTAACGCATCCGGGGAAGGGTCGAACGAGGCACTTAGTGGCACGGGTGCAGTGCGAATCTAACACTTTATGCAGTCGAGCTGGAGCGAAAGTAGCCCGGAATGTTCAGGGCATTAAGGGCATATGCCCTTGAATCGACAGGCCTGGTTCGGACACGGCTGATGTGGAACTAGGTTCAACAATTAAACTGGTGGTGGCAGTGGAGGCAGCGGCCGCTGCGGCCGTGGTGGCTGCGGCTGTGGTGGCTGCGGTTGTGGTGGCTGCGGCCGTGGTGGCTGCGGTTGTGGTGGCTGCGGCTGTGACAGCAGCAGCAACAGTTGCATTGTGAGTGGAAAAGTGTGCCCATAGAGAAGGGAGTGGTGCAGCAAAGTGCGAGTGAGGTGTTCAAGAGAAGGGCGAGCTGAAGCATAAAGAGGGGCACAATTAGAAGGGTGTGACTAACGGGGATAAGGTTGAGAGTGACAGGGATAAGGCCGCTGGCATTGTTTGGATTAGACAACGCTGACATAGACCTCAGGTCAACAACGAAACCCATGGCAGCAGTGGCGGCAGCAGCAGCAGGAGTGGCCTCGGGAGCGGAAGAGAGTGGTACAGAATAATTCCAGTTTCTCAAACAGGAGTGCAATCTGAGGCAGAGAGAGGAGAACAGAGAGTGCAAACTGCTGCGCAAAGAGGAGGGTGGCACTGACAGAGAGGAGGGTGGCACTGACAGAGAGGAGGGTGGCACTGACAGAGATGAGGGTGGCACTGACAGAGAGGAGGGTGGCACTGACAGAGATGAGGGTGGCACTGACAGAGAGGAGGGTGGCACTGACAGAGAGGAGGGTGGCACTGACAGAGAGGAGGGTGGCACTGACAGAGAGGAGGGTGGCACTGACAGAGATGAGGGTGGCACTGACAGAGATGAGGGTGGCACTGACAGAGATGAGGGTGGCACTGACAGAGATGAGGGAGGTGGCGATGAAGCCAGTGGCAGCGTCGTGCACAGAGAAGAGCACATAGAGGATTTCACGCGGGGCGAAGGGCCACGGCACCTTGAAGCTGCAGAGGGGCATGGGCGGCAGAGAATCGGCCAAAGTTGGTGGATGGATAACCGTTAGTGAGGCCGTGAAAGTGGGAAGTGCAGAGTGCGGGAGTAGAACAGCGAGGAGAGAGTTGCGCACACGGGATGAGGAGGTGTGTAAGACGACTCAGTGTGTGTGTGACATCCCAACCGTCTATCCCTTGTCCTGGCGGTGCAGTGACAGAAGCGATGAGTGAGGGAGTAGAACAGCAAAGAGGAGAGCTGCGCACAAGGGATAGGGAGGTGTGGGACACGACTCAGTGTGTGGGTGACGTCCCGACCCATCTATCCCTTGTGCTGGCGGTGCACTGACTGACTGTGGATACACGAGCTCGTATCCCGGCGCCACTCTCTTGAGAACAAGTTTTACAGTCTTGATCCTTTTGCTTAAGCGTGTCCTACAGGTTTGCTGCTACTCCCGACATGAATCTTGATCCACTGACCGTAGATACACCAGCTCGTATCCCGGCGCCACTCTCTTGACGAACTTGGACTCGAGCATGTGGAAGGGCGGCACTGAGAACTGCGGCCACCTGGGGAAGGAGAGGAGAGGGGCGAGGAGAGACGTGATGTGAGGGACGCACGCAGTGAGGGGAGGAGAGAGGTAGGGATTGAGCCACTCTCTTGACCAACTTAGACTCGAGCACGTGGATGGGCGGCACTGAGAACTGCGGCCACCTGGGGAAGGAGAGGAGAGGGTTGAGGAAAAAAAAAGTGATGTGTGTGAGGGACGCAAGCAGCGAGAGGAGAAGCGCGGGAGGGATTGAGCTACTCTCTTGACGAACGTGGAATCGAGCATGTGGAAGGGAGGCGCTGAGAACTGCGGCCACCTGGGGAAGGAGAGGGTTGAGGAGAAAAGTGATGTGTGTGAGGGATGCAAGCAGCGAGAGGAGAGATGGATTGAGCCCCTCCCTTGACGAACTCGGACTCGAGCACGTGGACGGGCGGCACTGAGAACTGCGGCCACCTGGGGGCGAGGAAAGAGTGTGAGGGGAGGGAGGGGCGTCATGGAATTGATAGAGGAATGGAGGGGGAGGGAGGGAGGGAGGGAGGGAGGGAGGGAGGGAGGGAGGGAGGAAGGGAGGGAGGGAGGAATGGAGGAAGGGAGGGAGGGAAGGAGGGAGGGAGGGAGGGAGGGAGGGAGGGAGGGAGGGAGAATATGGAGGAAGTGAGGTGGGAATCGACGGGACGAATTGCCAACGAAATGGCCAACGAAATGGCCAACGAAATAGCCAAGTGGAAGATGGCAGCGTATGAAAGCACCCTTGATGCAATCTTTCTCGTTCGTAGCTTCTACCTTCATCCGTTCCAAAGCTTGCAGCAACTCAAAAGTCACCCATGTGAGGACATGTGTGAAATGAGGACGCGTGTTTGTACCCACGAAGACACATGGAGAGCACACCTACCAGTCAGCGAAGAATGGAGCCTCCCACGCCACCGCGAGAACTGCAGCATGCAGACAAGAATCGAGTAGTGGATGTTAGGAAACCGGAGTCTAAAGCCCAAAAAGAGTCTCCAAACGCAATGTGCAGAAGAACGAATGATGGAGAAGATGAAGCGATGGGCGCGGATGGACGGATGGATGTGACATCAATGCAACTTCTGAGACGTCTCAAAAGACAGAGCGATGGGCGTGGATGTGACATCAATTGGGGAGGGGCGGGAAACAGTGGAGGTAGAGGCGGAGAGAATGCAGCGCGCACACACATCATGAGCACAGACAGCACCACACCACCATACATTACAGATCTGCTGAGATAAAAAGAGCAGCCCACCAGTGTCGAGGGATCCTTTGAGCACATAAAACACCATTCCACCACACAAAGCAAATCCGGGAAGCCAAAAGAGCAGCCCACCAGTGTCGAGGGATCCCTTGAGCACGCCCTCCAAGCACAGCTCGTGGAAGGCCGTTCCCTCCGCGCCTGGGCGGTACATCACCCTGTGGCTCTTGCTCTGCTCCTTCAGCTGCACACGGGGCGAGAAAGGGGAGTAGTGTCCGCGGTTGGTGGTGGGGAATGGGAGAGGGAAACGTATAAACTTCCTCCGACCGTGAACGATAAACCACCCTGTGCTCTTTCGCTGATCCTTCAGCCGGAAGCAGAAAAGGGGGGGTTGGGGGGAGTGGTCGAGAGGGCGGGGAAAAGCATATGGGGCTGTTGTGGGGGGGATTGGGACCTCTTCGGAGGAGGAACATCACTCTGTGGCTCCTAATGTGTGCGCTGCTCACAGTGACAGCCTTTTAAGCCGCCTCGAAAGTCGATTCTTGGTACGCTGCACGCAAAAACTACCCTTTTCCCTCGCACGGAAGACTCTCTTTATGCCCACAGAAACCCTTTCTCTCCGAATGCTATCAGGGAGCAGTGCGCTCGCTCCCTCTCACCCGCCTCTCCCTCCCACCCGCCACTCCCTTTCTCCCGCTCACCCGCCAGTCGCGCTGCCCGAACGCCTCCGGGTGGGCGCGGGACTCCTCGCGGTGCAGCGCCATGTCCTCAAAGCTGCTGCCCGCCGCACTGCGCAGCGCCTCCAGCATGCCCTCCGTGTCCCTCACCCGCGCAGCCACCACCTTCTCTATCTCTGTGCCCTCCGCCAGACCCGAGTACTGCTCGTGCGTCAGCCGGGGCTGGGACTGGGACTGGGACTGGGATTCGGGTCCTTCGGCTGCTGCTGCTGCTGCTGATGGAGGGAGGGGTTCCGTGGGTGGAGGGTCGGCTGCAGCCGCTGTGGCTGAGCTGTTGCCGTTCACGGCGCCGTCTGTTGAAAGGGAATGGTCGCACATGGTCGCACATGGTCGCACATGGACACAGATACGAAGTATTGCACACACAAAGTAAACATTTGGACGCGTGAAGCAAGGGTGGCATGGAATGAAGGACAAGCGCGCAGCCAAGGCAGTGCAGGCCAAGGTGGAACCGTGGATCTTGAAAACACGAATTTGACAATCAACGATGACACGATATGGTGTTCCCTTATGGACGGACATGATGATGTGAGATCTCGTCGTTCAATCGTTTGGTGCAAAGTACAGGTTCTGTCCACGCAACCACCTTCGCTCAAAAAGCATGGAGATTGTAGCTGGACGAACAAACCAATGGCATTTCCGCAACCACATATTTCCCTGTCAACTCAAAAGTCATTTTTGCTACGCACCTGGAGAGTTGTGATATGCCGTCTGAACCGTTTAGCTGCGCACAAACGTATGACTTCTTACGAGGTTACGTTTTCAGTCAACTCCAGCGCCACTTCTGCGACGCACCTGGGGAGTTGTGATATGCCGTCTGAACCGTCTGGCTACGAAGAGGCCATCCGATGACTTCGCCATCGCTAGCTTCTACTCCCGCTCCGTTACTAGCTTCCCCGCTTCCATCCTGAGCTGCTCGGGTCGTTCCGCTGCTAATAGCCGTTGCTTCGGATCCACCAAAAGCTACTTGCTCTAGCATTTCTGCTGCGTTCTCTATTTCTCCCTGCGTTCCATTTCCCCCAAAAGAAGGTGCACCAGCAGCTATTTGCTCTAACATTTCTGCTGCATTCTCCAATTCTCCCTGCGTTAGATTTCCCCCAACAGAAACTGCACCGGTAGCCATTTGCTCTAGCATTTCTGCTGCATTCTCTATTTCTCCCTGCGTTCCGTTATCCCCAACAGAAACTGCATCGTAGTTTCCTCTAGCCGATACAAAAGTTGTTTCTGCAGGCTCGGACAGTCCTAGCTGCCTTCTAAGAGCTTTTGCGACTATAGCGGGGTCCGTCCACGTGTCTGACGCCAGTGCACGATCGAACGAGCGGCGAGCTTCGAAGAAAGCCATCCTAGCGCACCAAAATACCAGTCACGCGCGAAACAGATACTAAAATTCCGAAGTCCGAAGGACAGCGCGTTCTTGTTCTATCTTCACGCAACAACGCCCAGCTCCGCACTCTCGTCCGTAGAAGCGACAACGTTTGGAAAATGAAAATGTCGAAAATGTCAAGCTTGTAACTGGAACCCGTCAGCAGCATCTAGAGTGCTTATCTACAATCTGAACGCAGCCGCATAGGACGACACGGAGCGTGGCAATCGCTGAAGTACTAAAATAAGGCTACGAATCCGCGGAAACGGGGATCCTCCAAGTAGACGCCATTCCAGGGCTCATCTTTCCATCCGTGCTTCCACTTTTCTTGCTTCATATGTTTCTGGCTTGTAGCAAATTTGGTCTTGCTCTGCTCTGCGGCCCTCCAGTGTGTCCTGTTCGGCTTTGCTTGTTGGAGATGCTTCAGCCCTTGACTCTCACGAAGATGTCCAGAACCAGTCCCAAGGAAATTTGGCGGGAACTGACAGACAGGTCTGACGGATGGGTACATCACTGTTGATAACGGAAACCTACACTTACGTTTTATGGGCTTGCAATATTGGATTATGTTAGAGTGAATCTTCCTTCTCAATTCATCCCAATTCACTTACATGCTAGGACAGAAAACCGAGCTAGGAAAATCATATAGAAAGCTTAAGTATCATCATGGTCGTGAACAAGCTGCCAAGGCTGTGAAAAACGGCAACACAACTCGACAGAGTTGCTCTTCCTCGATCGGTTTGGTCATGTACCCATCCATCCCATTCTTCAAGCACTTCTCCCTCGTGCCAGCACCCACATCAGCCGTCAGTGCAATCACCAATAGCCGGTCTGCTCCCCGGCCTTTTTGAGTGTTTCCACCATTCACACCAGCTTCATACTTGCGGATGAGCCCTGTGGCTTCTAGCCCATCCATCTCCGGCATCTGCAAAAATCACAACGTAAAACAATATAAATCCACCGATCGACAAAACACAAAAGGATCTGAGAATCATAACAAATAATAGAAAGGATGCACAATACACCTACAGACCTCGGACCCCACCCCCTCCCCTCCCCTCAAACACAGTGCAGTAATGTCCAAAACAGTCACCCAGACACACAGCCACCGCACCTGCACGTCCATGAAGACACAATCAAATCTGAGAGATGCATTCTGCACGGCCTTGACAGCCTTGGCGCCGCCATCCACCGCCTCCACCTCCACGCCGTATCGCTGCAGCATGCGCGCCATCACCTTGCGGTTCACCATGTTGTCGTCCACCTGGCAGTGGATGGGGGTAGGGAAGAGAGGAAACGAGGAAGGGCAAGCTCAGGAGCACATTCGCACACTCAACCACACTGTACCGCTGCAGCATGCGCGCCATCACCTTGCGGTTCACCATGTTGTCGTCCACCTGGTGGGAGGGGGAGAGGGAAGGGGGTGCAAGGGGGGTTTATGGGGAATTTGTGGAGTGTGGTGAGGGGAGGAAGGTACGAGGGAGGAGCTGCGCTGCAGCATACGTGCTATCCACTGCCATCCACCGTCTCCACCTCCACGCCGTACCGCTGCAACATGCGCACCATCACCTTGCGGTTCACCATGTTGTCGTCCACCTGGTGGGAGGGAGGGGAGGGACGGGGAGGGGAGGTATGGGAAAGAAGCATGAAGTAAGATCAGCACTGCAGCAGGCGCGCCATCACTTTGCGATTCACCATGTTGTCATCCACCCGGGAGCATGAGAGGGACGGGGAATGAAGGGGGAGGGGGGGCGGGAACGGAGGGGGTGGGGGCAGGGGCACAGATTACATATATATGTATCTACTCATATCAATATGTTTTCCCTTTTCTTCATTTCTTTCTCAATCTTGTTGATAGGATTGCTTCCGAGCCGCTTGAAAGCAGAGAGTGGGCAGTCAAGGGATACTCACCACGAGAATCTTCTTGCCCTTGAGCGCCTGGCACAGCAGCCTGGCTCCATCACTCTCCTTGCGCATCGACGTGATAAAAGTGATGTTTTGAGACGTCTCAAAACATCACAAGAATGAGAGAAGGCAGAGAGAGGGAGACCCACCACGAGAATCTTCTTGCCCTTGAGCGCCTGGCACAGCAGCCTCGCTCCGTCACTCTCCTTGCGCATCGACGTGCCCGACGGCAGAGCGGGCGGCAGGGAGGAAGGGCTCCCAGCAGCCGCCTGGGCGGCACGGGTCTTGTGGCGGGCGGCAATGGCCGGCACATCCCCTTCCGGCACGGAGCCTGTGGATCTGCGCGCTTTGGACCCGGTTGTTGACCCTTTTGTCCAAGTTGACCCCACCTCGTCTAGGCTCATTCTCACTCGCCTTGTTCGCCGTCCCGACCCTGTGTCAAGAGCATCACCACTCTCAGCGGGAGCAGCAGGAGCGGCAGGGGCAGAAGCAGCAGCAGAAGCAGCAGGGACAGCAGGGGCAGCAGAGGCAGCTGGAGCAGCAGGGGAAGCAGAAGCCATATCCGTTTTCCCATCGGTGCTGCCAGACTTGAGGATGCCTGCTCTTTGGGGGCTCTTGCCGCTGCTCTTGCCAGTGCTGGTACTCCTCGTGGTGACTCCAGGCCAGAAAAGCACCTTATCCCCGTGAACACGAGGCAGCGGGCCGCTATGAGCAGTTCTGTCGGAATCGTCATCGTCGTCGTCAGTAGGAAGCAGCCATCGCACCACGGGACCTGGCGAGCTCTGGTCTGACGAGCTTTTCGGCAGCGAGGACTGCTGTAGCTGCTGCTGCGGCTGCTGCTGCTGCTGTGGCTGCTGCTGCTGCTGCGGCTGCTGTGGCTGCTGCGGCTGCTGCGGCTGCGGCTGCTCCTGACCCTCACCTCCTGTTCGCACCACACCTGTTCCTCTCCCTACCTGCCTCCCATCCACCATTTTCCCTGATTTACACTCATCTTCCTCCCCTTCCTCATCCTCCTCTTCCTCATCATACTCCCTCTCATCGTCACCATCATCACCCCCCTCCCCATCCCTCCGCACCGCCCTTTCTCGCTCCTCCTCCTCCTCCGCCTCAGCCCCATCCTCTGTCCCCAGAGCCTCATCCCCCCCTAGAAGCAACAGAGAGAGGTTTGAAGAGAGGGCAGTCTGCCTCACAGGCTTCGATATAGTCACATCGAAAGCCTTAGATGCTGCTGCTGCTGCCGCTGCGCCCTCCCTCTTACTTCGCCCATGCCCTGACGCCAGCAGAAGAGCAGCGAACCAAGGCCATTGATCCATGCTTTCGCTTCCACCCATCATCCCTTGCCCGCTGCTCCCACAGCAGCAGAAGCCACACCCTAGGTTGCTGCCGTTGCTGCTGCCACTGCTGTTGCCGCTGCCATCGCTGTTCCCGCTGCTGCTGCAGAAACTGCTTCTACTGGCATTGGTACGGATAGTGGAATCTGTGCCTGCTCCTATACTGCTGCCACTGCTCCCGCTGCTCCTGTTGCTCCTGCTGCTGGTGGTGCTGCAGAAGCTGCCTCTGCCCATTCGAGGCAGCTGGCACGTGTGGCATTTATCCCCACTACAGCCAGACTCGCCTTTCTTGCTATGGTTACTTTCACTGTTGCTGCTCGATTGGCTGTTTTCAGGGCTGCTATCACTGCTGCCGCCATGGGTCTGGTTACCACCACCTTGGTTACCAGGTGCTTCAGCCGAGCCTGTCTGGTGAAGCAGGCTTGGCCAAACCTCGTAGCCTGCTTCGGCCATGGCACTCACTGCAAGCCATTGCCATGTGCAGCAGCTGCTGCTGATACACCTCTCTCCCTCCTTCCGTGCCCTCTTCTTCTCCCCTTCCTGCCCTTCCAGCACCTCCTCTTCAGGGACTGTTCCCTGTCCCTCCTGTCCCTGCTGCCCCTCCCCCTCGCACTGCTTCTTCTTCTGTTGAAGCACTGCCTTGTTGTGTCGGCCCAGCCACTCCTCATCCACCACCACAATCACCGGCCGCTTACCAACTCCTGCGCCCACCGCAGCTGGAGCAGTCACGAGGGAATTGTGGTTCGGAATGTGCACAACAGGTTCGGCGACGGCTTCGGGGTTGTTTAGCACCGGGATGCCGAGCCTGTTGAGAAGGCTCTCCATCACGCCGAACCTCACGGCGCGGTCGTCGAGGAGAATGGCGGAGAATTGAGATAGGCTCGCTTCGGTCTGCTGGAGAATGTGTAGAGGCGAGGCTGGCAGCACGTGTGGCGGAGATGCTCTTAGTGGGGATGACCCACAGGGGGATAGTGCTGTTAGTGCTGGTGGTGTAAGTGAAGGAGGTTTCGCTATTGGTGATGCGGCTGCTGGTGCCGAAGCTGGAACACCCCATGGCAGCAGCGGTGATTCCGAGCCTGAAGTTGGTTCGGTGAGGAGGGGGAAGCTGCACCCATCGTCGTCCTTCAAAGCCACGCAGTGCTTTGAATCTCTAATCTCTACAATCACAGAATCTGCTGACCCCACCAATGAAGCTGTTCTTGCCAGTGCTACTGCTCCTGCTCCTGATCCTGCTCCTGGTTCTGCTCCTGCAGGCTGTGCAACACCAGCAGCACGAGCAGCAGCAGCCGAAGCAGCCACATCAGCAGCAGCAGCAGCAACAGGCTCACCATCGCGGCTGTCACAGGGCATGACCACATCAAAAAAGAAGGTGGTGCCCACGCCCGGGCGCGAGGTGAAGGAGATCTTGCCGCCCATGAGATCCACCAGGTGGCGCGAGATGGACAGCCCGATGCCCGTGCCGCCGTGCGTGCGCGTCGTGCTCGCGTCCGCCTGCATGAAGGGCTTTAAGATGGTTCGCTGTGCGGGATAGGGGATGCCTTCTCCTGTGTCCTGTGGGTGGGTTGGGGGGAAAAGGGGGGGCAGCAGCGTACCAGGGGAGGAAATGAGAATTCAGTGAGAGTGTAGGCCTGGGCACGAGGTGAAGGAGGTGAAGGAGAGCTTGCCGCCCATGAGGTCAACAAGGTGGCGCGAGATGGACAGCCCGATGCCCATGCCGCCATGCGTGCGCGTCGTGCTCGCGTCCGCCTGCATGAAGGGCTTTAAGATGGTGCGCTGCGCTGGGTACGGGATGCCCTCGCCCGTGTCCTGTGGGTGGTTGGGGAGGAGAGGGAAGGAAAGGCGGAGGGGAATGAGAATAGGCAGAATGCGTGCGTGCGCGTTGTGCTCGCAATTGCCTGCATGAACAGAATATCCGCCTGCATTTCAGTATACTCGAGATGCGAATGCACGTGACCCGTACCTCAACAGAGATGACAAGTCGCACGGTCGGGCCATTCAGCAGAGGACTCCCCCCCCCTCCTCCTCTGCCCTTTCCACCACCCTCCCCTTCCTCTCCTCCCTCCCCTTCCATCCCCCCACCCCCCCCCTTTCCCTCCTCCCCACTCCTCTTCCCATCCCCCCGTCTCATCCCCTCCTCGCGCCATGTCTCCCGGCGAGCGCCCAGAACAACCCAGCTGTTGCAGCTGTCCACCGCCTCTCGCCCGCTCAGAGTCAGCCTGTCAGGCGCCGTGCCGTTCACTCCGCTGCCGCTGCCAAAGCTGCTGCTGCTGCTCCGCCTGCCGGTGATGCTGGGTCTGCCGGTGAGCCCGAGCCGTTCAGCGGGTGGGGGAACACGGGGTGGTGCCGGGAGAGGAGACGTGGTGGTTGTGGTGGAAGCAATGGTCGCACCAGCAGCACCAACAGCAGTAGCGGCGGCAGCACCAGCAGCAGGATTAGCAGCATCAGCGGCAGCGAGCATAAGGGCACTCAATCGAACCGACTGTCGTTCGGGTCGAAATGCAACATCCTTGGATGGACTCTCCTCCACGTCCTCCTTTGCCGCATCCTCCTTACCCTGACAACCGCCACCACCACCATCACTACCACTACCAGCAGCGGCGGCAGCAGCAACAGCAGTGTAGCTCGCAGCACCAGTGCTGCCGATAACCCTTCGATTCTCGCCAGTCTTCATCTCAGTTGCTGCAATAGACGGCTTATCGCCTATCACAGCAGAGGCAGAAGGCTTATCGGCTGCCACAGCAGTGGCTGATGGCTGATCAGCTATCATGGCAGGAGCGTGCGAGCGGAGGGAGCGGTGGTGGTGGTGCTTGCGGGCTGACTTGCGCAGATCCTCGTCTGGCTCTGCCGTGCGGATGGCGATGAAGATGTGTCCACGTTCAGTGAACTTGCAGGCGTTGGACAGCAGGTTGATGAGCACCTGGTCGGGTAAGGGGTGCAGGCAGGGTGGGGGAGAGGGAGGATGGCGATGAAGTTGTGTCCACGTTTGGTGAACTTGCAAGCGTTGGACAGAAGGTTGATGAGCACCTGGTGGAATGGTGGGTGCAGGAGAAGACATGGGAAAAAGGGAATTAATCTAGGGCTCTTCAAAATTAGGTGACTTTTAAGCACCTGACGAACCACCTAGCAGAAACACCTGGAGACCCGCCTGGAAGAGTGGCACACAACGAGTCATGCAGACAACAGCCCGCAATACCTGGCGTAGGCGCAGGGAGTCCCCCAGGACAGCAGCGGGCACGAGCGGGTCGACATAGGCTGCCACCTGCAGCAGCGGCTTGTCTCGGAAGCGCTCGATGAACATTGTGAGCACCGTGTCCACCTCTCCCCTCACGTCCATCGGGACCCGCTCCAGCTGCATCTTCTGCGCCTGGTGGGGGAAAGAGGAGAGAGGGGGAAAGAGGGTGAAGGAGGGAAGGGGGGAAGGGATGGAGTAAGAGAAGCGCTCGATGAACATTGTGAGTACCGTGTCCACCTCTCCCCTCACGTCCATGGGGACCCTCTCCAGCTGCATCTTCTGTGCCTGGTGTGGTGGGGGAACGGGGGGGAATTGGGGAGGTGCGGAAAGAGAAGGGCAGGGGAGACAACACGGTGAGCACTGTGTCTACCTCGCCCCGCACGTCCATCAACACGCGCTCCAGCTGCATCCTCTGCACCTGGTGGGTGAAGAACGGGTGGCGAAGGGTGGTAGTTGGGGAAAGGGAACGGCACAGCACAGTGAGCACCGTGTCCACCTCTCCCCGCACGTCCATAGGACCCTCTCCAACTGCATCTTCTGCGCCCGGTGGGGGGGGGAGAACGGGAAAGGTGACGGAGAAAAAGGGCCAGTAGGACAGGGGTAGATGGGCAAACATTGTCTATGTGTGCACCATGTCCAATTCTCCCCTCACGTCCATTGGGACCCGCTCCAACTGCCTCTTCTGTAGCAGCTCACTCACTCACCGTGCGTAAGCAGCCCACTCACCTCGATCTTGGAGAGGTCGAGGACGTGATTGATGCGCTCTAGCAGCGAGGTGTACCCATACGCACAGTCGCTTTTAGAATCCTCAAAGGCGTACCCACAGCAGGCTCACGTGTGTCTCGCAGCACACAATTCGGACTCTCGCCTTCATCAGGAGCACCGTACCTCAATCTTGGAGAGGTCCAGGATGTCGTTGATCAGCTCCAGCAGTGCCCGCCCGCTGGTGCGCGCCGTCTCCACGTAGTCCAGCTGGGTTATCGTGAGGGGCGTCTCCAGCAGCAGATTCAGCATGCCTGGGATGGCAGAGGAGAGGGGGAGGAACACGTGAACGAATCTGCCTGGATGAACGGTTGCGCGTAAACCAGGGCCCCACTGTCTCCACGTAGTCCAGCTGGGTTATCGTGAGCGGCGTCTCCAGCAGCAGGTTCAGCATGCCTGGGAGGGGATGGCGGAGAGGGTGGGGAGATGCACGAACACATGTGGCAGAAGGAGGTAAGCACGAACGCACGTGCCTGCCTGACTGAACCCTGACCTTTCACCCAGACCTCCCACCCCACCACACCCATCCCAACCACGCACCTATGACGCCGTTCATGGGCATGCGCAGCTCGTGAGACATGGTGGCCAGGAACGTGCCCTTGGCTTCGCTGGCGCCTCAGACGTGAGGCAACCCAACAAAACCCACTCACTCTCCCAAACCACTCACGCCAAGCAATCAGCAGGCCGACCCACCCACCCACACCACGCACGCACCTATGACGCCGTTCATGGGTGTGCGCAGCTCGTGGGACATGGTGGCCAGGAACGTCCCCTTGGCCTTGCTGGCGCGCTCCGCCACGTTGCAACTCACACTACCTACCCACGAACCATGCCAACCTAAGCACCCACCCCAGTCATGCATGCATCCTAGCCGCGCACCTATAACCCCGTTCATGGGCGTGCGCAGCTCGTGCGACATGGTGGCCAGGAACGTCCCTTTCGCCTTGCTGGCGCGCTCCGCCACGTTGCGGGCGGCCTTCATTTTGTCCTTTAGCAGCTCCATGCGGTGGAAGTCGTGCTCCAATTGGTGCACGTGCGAGCTCGCCACCCACCACACGTAGCCCAGCAGGGACATGACTGTGACTATAACGAGCGCCCAGCCCAGCGAGGAGTAGGGGAAGACGTAGTAGTCTAGGTACCTGGGGGGAGGGGGGGAGGGGAATGGTTGGCGGGGGGGACGAATGAGGATGATTGGGGAGAAGCGGGGAGAGGAATAGGGGGAGGTGGGGAGGTGAATTGGGAGAGGCGGTGATCGGACCTCGTACTGTCAGTAGGGGTCCCCCAGGTGCATGGTGGTGACATGCGGGTGCCTATCCTTCTTCCACTCACACGCCAAGCCACATCCAGTCCACGCACCAACCCGCATTCAGACACACCCAGCACACGCCCAGCCCGCCCGTACCTGCAGCGGATCTCGTACTGCCCGTAGGGGTCCCCCAGGTCCATGGTGGTGACACGCCCGGTACCTGTTTCCTTGCACTGACACGCCAATCCACACCCACTACCCACTACCCACTACCCACTATCCAATGCACCTGTACGGTCGTACCTGCAGCGGATATCGTACTGCCGGTACGGGTCCCCCAGGTCCATGGTGGTGACGTAGTTATAGCGGTCGCTCTGCCCCTTTGCCAGCCGGTGCTCCTGCGGTTCATACATCAGCCGCTCCACACTGCCCCGCCCCAACACCTCCCCGGGTACTGCCATCGTCTCGCCAAACCCAACCGTCTGTCCGGTGCCATTGCTGCTGCTGCTGCTGCCGCCGTCGGTTTTTTGGACTGCCGTGGTGTTGCTACCACTCGCTGACGTCATGCTGCTGGTCGTGCCACTCGTGCTGCCGCTGCTGCTGCCGGTGCCGCTGCCGCTGCCGTTGCCGCTGCTGCCGTTCCCCTGGGAGGCAGTGTTGGCCCCGTTATAGTACCCAGACTGAGCCTCGCTGCTCCCATTGGTCACATCGTACACCCTCACAAACATCGGCATGTGCTCCCGGTGCAGCGATTTGATCAACGGCTCAAAATCAATCACAGCCGACATGAAGCCTCGGCACTTGGATCGGAACTCAGCCATGCCAGCCCCGGGTCCTGGGGGTGTACGCTCCTGATACACCGGGTAAACGCGTAACATGAGGGTGTTTAGGTCGCGGTTACCGCTCGATTCCGATGCTACAGTGCTGCCTGATGCGCCCGTGCTGCTGCTGCTGCCGACGTTGATGCCCCCCAGTGAGTCCACTGCCATTTGCAGCGGCGGGGTGAGTGCACCCATAATGCCCTGGTCGCGCGCTCGAATCACTGCCTCCCTGTTCGCTGGGAACGCGTCTGGAGGGAGAAGGGGAAAAGAAGAGGGAAGGGAAAGAAGAGGTCACTTTATCGCAACCCAGAATCACTCCATCGCATGAGCTGATGCGCGCACGTGGTGCGGAGGAAGGGTGTGTATTTATTATACTCAGAGACTCACCGCACTCAACCCAATCTCACCCCAGAGCATGTCTTGTCCGATAAGTTGCTGCGGTGACGTGGTGTAGAGGATGGGTGCATAGTCCGACTGCTGCCCCGCACATGCCATGTCGTGCCTGAGCGAGCGGCGAGGGAAGGGGGAAGATGCGGAGGTGGGTTGCGAGGGAGGTGGATTACGGGAGAAGAACAAGGGGAGGTGAGGACGAGGGGTGATTAACCAGGGGAAGAGGAGGACCAAACAAGCAGAGTAGGGTACCAGACAGACACGTGCCAGACCACACATGCAGAGAAGCACACGCAGAGCAGCACACACAGGCAGAGCCGCACACACGCACAGAGAAAGCACCAGATGCAGAGAAAAACTCACTTGATGCAGAAGCCGCCCCCCTGCGCCCTCTCATACGCCCCCCTCTCTGCCTGCGGCACACTAGCAGCAAACGAGACATCCCTCAAACGCGGACGCGCGTATTCCGTGTCGTTGAGAAACCCCATGAACGTGGACTGCCCAAAGGGGACGGTGGGAAGAGGGGGGGGGCGGAGAGACGGGGGAGAGGACAGGGGAGGGGTCGCACGGGGAAAAGGTGCCGCATTGTGAGGAAGGAGAACGCGCGTACTGCATGTCGTTGAGAAACCCCATGAACGTGGCCTGCCCACAGGTGACGGTGGGAAGAGGGGGAAGAGGGAGTGGAAGGGGGTTGGGAGGTGTGTGCGCTGGTGATGGGGGAGTGGGGGGACAGGAGGAGAGAGAGCAAATGGCCGGGAGGAAGAGGGGGCGAGCTGCGTGCGTTAAAACAGGCCTTTGAACTTTGAAGGTAGACCATGGGAGGGAGGAAGGAGGGAGGAGGAGGGGGAGGATGCAATCGCTTCAACCCGTGGGAGGGAGGGAGGAAGGAGGGAGGAGGAGGGGGAGGACGCGATCGCTTCAACCCGTGGGAGGGAGGGAGGAAGGAGGGAGGAGGAGGGGGAGGACGCAATCGCTTCAACCCGTGGGAGGGAGGGAGGAAGGAGGGAGGAGGAGGGGGAGGACGCAATCGCTTCAACCCGTGGGAGGGAGGGAGGAAGGAGGGAGGAGGAGGGGGAGGACGCAATCGCTTCAACCCGTGGGAGGGAGGGAGGAAGGAGGGAGGAGGAGGGGGAGGATGCAATCGCTTCAACCCGTGGGAGGGAGGGAGGAAGGAGGGAGGGGGAGGGGGAGGACGCAATCGCTTCAACCCGTGGGAGGGAGGGAGGAAGGAGGGAGGAGGAGGGGGGGGATGCAATCGCTTCAACCCGTGGGAGGGAGGGAGGAAGGAGGGAGGAGGAGGGGGAGGACGCAATCGCTTCAACCCGTGGGAGGGAGGGAGGAAGGAGGGAGGAGGAGGGGGAGGATGCAATCGCTTCAACACACTCCACCGTTTCAACTCACTCCACCGTCTCAACTCAACCCACACCACCGTGTCAACTCACCCTGTCCAGGGTGCCCGGGGGCTTGTTGTAGTGGAACGTGGTCATCAGGTTGGCCAGCAGCCGAATCTACACAGCAGGCAGCGGACAAGGGAGAGAAAGTGCAGGTAATGAGCCGACGTCAGAGGCGCTTCTCAAGTCGACTTTTGAGGCGCCTCAGAATGTGCCTCAAGAGGCGCCTCAAAAGAAAGTACAGGAAATGGGCTGACGTTAGAGGCGCTTCGCAAGTCTTCTCGTCACAAGTGGCCGGACCAAAGGGAGAGAGAAATAAGGCAGGAGATGGGAAGTGTGGTGGATAGTGGAAAAGAGAGAGAAGGAGAGACGAGCGGAACGATTGGAGTTGAACTGGACCGGCACTGTAACACCTCGCTACCCACTGGGTCAAAACGAGGGTTGTATTTGAGGCGCAGCGGATGCTCTCATACCCTTACGTGTAAGCCCCACAGGCGTTACAGGCACGGTCGATGGCGTCTACAAAGCGGTCCTGCCTGGTTGGTAGTATGTACAAAGCGGTGGTACCTGGTTGGAGGTGTCGGTGAAATGGTCCTGCAGCAGCTTCTTGTACGACTCGCACTCCACCTCTAACGCCACCTGCGCATGCACGAGGGGGAGAACACGGGAACACACCACATCCGCCGCGGCATCAGACGACGTGCGATGCACTCCAATCCAAACCAGTAGAAGTTGATTTAAGGTGCCTCAAGTAGCCTCTAGTACGACTCGTCGCACTCGCACTCCACCACCGGAGCCTCCGGCTAGACACCGCCAATTTGAGCATGTGTCACGGCGGACATGACGCACAGCAGGTAACCCCCGCCCCCCTCCTTGCCCACGTACGCGCGACCTCTTCCCCAACCGCTCCCGATTTCCTGCACCAACGCGCATTTGCCTCCCACTTTGGGAGCTCCTATACGACGTCGACCGTGACATGGCCTTACAAAGGCCTGAAAGCGAATGCGAGCCGTGCGATGCGACGCCGCCGTACCTGGCGCTCGCCTTGAAAGCTCTAACTAAGAGCCTCGACTCAACAAGCCGACTAAAAAATCAACTCAAAGATTGCGTCAACTCGAAAGCCGCCGTACCTGGCGCTCGTCTTGGAAGCTCTTATACGTCGCGCTGAACACGGCTGCAGCGGCCGCTAAAGTCACCAACACCCACATCGCTATGCACACGTGGCGCCACATCATACTCATCCGCAGATACCGCTGCACGCTAAACACGTCGCCCATGTACTGCCACGTGGATCCATCCGGGCCTTCCCCGCGCCGGTGGCGGATGTAGCGGTTGTTCCGCCGGTAGCGCCTCCGCCAGGGAATCAGCGGCTCAATTTCCGCTCCGCCTATCCACGCGGCGGGCGCAAGCAGGCTCTTTCTGCCGCTTCCGACCGACCTGGGGCTGTGCTCGCCGCCGTCGGCGGAAGGGGAGAGAATGTCTACAATTACCGTCGCGCTTCCGTTTTTTCGAGCCAATTCTCCCTCTCCGCATTTTCCGGAGGCCTTCTCCCCTTTTCCTCTCCATCGGCTTCGCAAGTATCCCATCATGGGGCTCGTCCAATCACGATCCGCCATGTTCCACATTCCGCGGTTCCCCCCGAAGCAAAGGAACGACGGAGGTTCTCCATCGTTGGCTTCGTCCGACGAGTCATCCAGACCGTCCGTTCCATCCGTGCCGTCCGTCCCGCATCCGTCGCTGCTGGCGCTAGTGGTTCCATTCGTGCCAGTACCGCTACCACCCCAAGCGCTTGACCTGCTTTGGCTCGCTTGACTGCCATTGTACGGCGACGCAGGAGGTACTATCAGGAGCGGAAGGGGTGTTGGGTTATTAGCGGCCCCAGCAGTATCTGTTGCTGATGATGTTGCTGCTTCCGCGGACAACGATGCTGTAGTGTTTCGACCAAATAGCCTCATCTTTATCTTGGCTTGAAAATTTGCACGGAGATGACAATATGGGCACAAAGAGGTAACAAAATTGAGCTGCTTTCGTTACCTACGAATCCTCTCTCCAAGCAACGAAACGATTCCAATTGCTGGATTATCCAAGAGAATGAATCACTAACAGCTTAGCGAACTGCTAGAAAAAAGTGCTCAACTCAGAACCTTGATAAACCTTCATGGAGGGGAACGCGCAAGCCATGTTTCGCTTTGGACTTGAGATGAGAATCACATCACCTCACCATCTGTTGATCAACCAACCGAACACCTATGGAACTCCATATGTGCGAGCGAGGGCCTGCTCGTTGGCGACGACGAATATTTTGTCGAATGTCGTCTGCGTGATGTCGTCGCATTTTGGATGGAATTTACTGTACGTACAGTTGCTGAGTCGACGAAGTTGGGAATTTCCTGACAAAGTACACGTAAGGAGTTCGCTCGCTAGCCAATCCACCCCGTTGCCCCTGCTCACCCCGTAAGTACTGTGTTGCTGTACCAACTCCAACTTCTACCCCACCTGTTCAACCCGAGTAGCTCAAACACCAAGGATGACCCTTGTTGTTGCAAAGTGTCAGCTCGAGTTGTGGAATTAACTATGGACACCTGTGCATAGAGTGACGTCAGCGCAACTGCGGATTTCTTCGAAGTTTGTCCCGTGGGTGGTTCTACAATTTCTGGTTTTTATGGGGGACCTTGCTGCTGGACACATTCTCCGACCAAAAGGACAAGTGGGACAAACCCATACACCAGTCAGCAGCCACAAGTTACAGCACCCTCTAAGTTCTGTGGCTCCAGGTGACAGATCACTTTTCACTACAGTGACCAATTGGATAAGACATTGTCCAATCATGATGATGAACAGTCTTTGGAAAAAGCCCCAATGTCTGAGGTGGCTGAATCCATGGACAGGGACCACAGCTGTGGACCTACTGTAACGAGTGGATTCTGTCAATCGATGGAATATCTTGCGCGTGAGTTTTGTGGACATTTTTTCTCAACCAATTGCGGTGGCTTATCGATGCTGACATCAGGGCGGTGAGAATCTTCCATCCAGCTTTCACATCTCGAGCTAGAGCAAAAGATTTGGATAATATATTGCCTGACAAGAAACCATTAGAGACTGAATGTTACGATGTAAGATATCCACATTCAACTTAACGTGTACTGTTATAAAAAAAACTTGCAGAGTCCGCAACATAACGAATAACGAGACTATGAAATTACTGAATGACAATACAAGGAAAGGAGCGAGACTAAAAAGGGGAAATCCTAGCTAGACGGGAAGGTCGGGCGAGGATGGCTCGGAAAAGGTTGAGATTGGAGCTGGGGCGATTTGGGCGTGGGTTGGGTGCGGATTTGTAGGCCGAACCATCTGACTCGCGGCCCTCATGCAATGTGTGGTTACCAGTAGATTGGTGTGGAATGGAGATCTTGTTTGCTGGCAATGTTTTGCTCAGGAATATTTGTATAGATGAAAAACATTATTCAAGTATGATAACTATTACGAATAGTAACAGATGAAGTGTTACTGTGCACTAATGACAGTAGCAAGCGAAGCATGCAGTATCGAGTCTGAAGACGAAAAGGCGGGAGTGACGCGAAGGGCCATACGGTTACGAAGCATCTGGACCGTCAGGGCAGACAGCATCAGGCAGCAGCAGTGGCGAGGATTATGCCCAGGCAGCAGGGCCCTAGGTATAAGACTTTTTACTCTGATTCAGAGTTCGTTCATAAATTTTTTTTTTTGTACCTAGTCTGAACTCTTTTTTTTTTTTTTTTTTTTTTTTTATGTGCCTTGTCTGATTTTTCAGAGTTTATTTTTAAGTCTTGGCTGAAATTTCAGACTTGTCTTTGTAGTGTAGGCTGAGCCCTCAAATTTGTAATGGGGGTGCACTATGAAACCGGTAATACAGGGATTTCGGGTAGCCTGGCGGCGTGTAGCACTAACACCGTCAATCAAGGGGGGGAAACCAAAATTTCCCGAGCGCGACACCGAATGCTGTAATTGCTTCAATTCCAACCAGCCTATGCGCCGTAGGGTGCGTTGGCAAGATTCCCTGCCAACGCATGGCTCGCAGCGCGCTGCACCCAACATCCATCCACCCCACCCCACCTTCCTCCTTGCCAACGCATAGCTCACAGGGCAGTACACCTTGGACAACACCACATCCATCCACCCCACCCACCGTCCTCGTTGCCAACGCCAGACTCGCAGCGCGCTGATCTTCGCACAACACCACAACCATCCACCCCACCTTCCCTGCTAGACGTGCCAGGAGTAGTAGAGATTTGGCGAAGCTACAAGAAGCGCCAGCCAGTCACATCACCTGCTGCAAGACACAGGGAGCCCCCAAGGGCTGGGAAGGAGCATGTAGAGGAGCCAGTAGTTGAGCGTGCTGCTGTAGCACTGTCAGATTCTGATTCAGATAGTTGAAATTTGTGTTCAATATCAATAAACGTGATCAAACTAAAATTTGTGTGTTACTCTGAACTTTCAGCGTGAAAAACATAGTGTTGTCTGAAATTTCAGACTGGAAACTGGGGGCAACTCTGACTGACAGAGTTCAGAGAGGGGAGCACGCTGATCGATCAGAGTGTCCCAAAACCAATCTAGGGGCCTGCCAGGCAGTTCGTAACCGTCTGGAGTCGCACGGTTGGGATTCGCTGCAATAAGGGAATGTACCCCTTCGAGTACATGGCTAGCTAGGTCGCTTCGTATTCCATCTTGTACTCTTATTCACATCCCTGCATTTGCATGTTTTAATCATCTCAATAATTTTCCATCCACTCTGAATTGAGGTCAAAGGCTCACCACCACCATTCAATTGTGTGTGAACCTTCATGAGGTGATTCTAGGGTCGATCAACTTCTGATCGCAGCATGGTATCAGAGCGATTCGGGAATCCTTCGCACTGCCACCTTCGAAATCTTCGGCAAACGGAAAGTGGCGTCCGGCACGCGTTCGCATGTAAGAATGGCCGGAGGATCTAGTGGTCAGACGAATCTGACGGCTGAAGCGCAGCCCAATCCGGCTGCGACAAATGAGGAAACGACGACGATTGGAACCGCCGTCCTCGCACAACTGCTTCAGCGACTCACCAGCTTGGAGCAAGGACTCCAAACATTGCGGAATGGCGACGCGGAAACTTCTTCCCAACCCTCTCAACCGAACTCGAATGGTCACAATATCGCCCCGCACACCTTCTCCCTCGACACAAATGGCTCTGTTAGAAGTACGAACGAGAATGAATGAACTAGCAGCATGCAGGAGTACAAGTAGCAAACCCTAATTGGGTTGTACCCCATATGGACTACCCCACTACAGCCTACAGAACATGCAGCATATAAATTTGACACACCTCCATAGGCAGAGTGGGGGAGAACAAGAGGTCAAAAGACCAGTAAGTAAAAGCAAAGCAGGCTCAGGGTGGATCACGAAGTCACCACGCATTCTGAGCACAAGCAAATGGCCACAAGGCCAGTTCACATGCAGAGTTATATAAAGGAGAACAAGCAGTACAGTGATCACAACATAGCAAGTGTAAGCATGCAGGTATATGTATATAGATCACAGTACAAGCAAAGTCAAGAAGTGAGCAAGTGAGACCAAGTAGGCACAAGGCCTAGAACAGTACAGAAACGCTGATGATCACAAGGCTGAAGTGCCTTGGTGAAGATATCAGCAGTGTTGGCCCGAGAGGCCACGTACGCAAGACGAAGCTGACCACGCTGCTGCAACCCTCGAGCAAGGAAGTAACGCAGAGCGATGTGCTTCATCCTGTGCTCTAGTCTGTGCTTCTGACACAAGGCAATTATGGCCTTGTTGTCGACGTACAGAACTAGAGGAGAACGAGGCGGCTCGCCCAAGTCGATCAGCAGGTAGGTGAGCCAGCATAACTCCTGTGCAGCCATGGCCCCGGCGTAGATCTCAGCATCACAACTAGAACTGAGAACAGAAGACGAGCGGGTAGACCTCCACGAAACAGAGCCGGAGCCAAGGCTGAAAGTGTAACCCTGTGACGACCGCTGCGTAGCCAAGTCGTCAACCCAAGAAGCGTATGCGTGGCTAGTGAGGACAACTCGAGCCCGTCCTCCAAGCACGAGCCCCATGCCCGACGTACTGCACAAGTAGCGCAACACCCTCTTAGCGGCCTCCCAGTGCTCTGGTCGGTGTCTCCCGGGCGCAACATAGCGTGCCAGGATGCTAAGAGGGTAGGCAAGGTCGGGGTCGAGTGCAGGTCATCAGGTACATGAGGCAGCCCACAAGCTCTGGATACGGGCCACTCGGCTCTACAGACTCATCCGAAGGCAGAGCTGAGAGCGAGTGACCGGTAGGCAGAGGAGTGGACTGTGGCGAGGAGAACGTGAAGCCGAAGCGCTGAAGGACCTGCTGCACCATGTGTGACTGAGTCAAGGTAATGGTGCACTGTGCTCTGTCCCGGGTGATCTGCAAGCCAAGATAGCTGCGTAGCTCACCCAGGTCTGTGCACGTGTGTCTCTTCTGCAGCTCCTTCTTCACAAAGGCCAGTCCCGCAGTGTCAGCAGTGTCAAAGACCAAGTCGTCGACGTACACGAGGATGTAGAACGGCGGTAAAGAAGTGTCGGTGCGT